TATATACGAAGTACTTCATCCAGCTGAGCCGCATACTCGTCCTATGGTGCCTTGGAGCTAAAGTTGATAGATGTATAGCCTAAGACGATAAGCAGTTTACGTGTGGTAACTACTCAGCGATGCACTGCGAAATCGTTGCGCGATCAATCAGGACACCGAAGTGGCAATTCAACTTGAGACGGTCTGGTAGAAATGTCGAGTTCAGTTGTGCTGGCGTGCTCCTGGTAGAAAAATGTCATTAGGCCTTTTCAAGGTAAAGGGCTGCCTGCATGTCAGTTTTTCCAGGTGGTGTAACGTTGAAGGAGATCATTCGGAATTGAACTGTTCGGCGCAAAAAAATCGTTTTTCAGCCGTAGCACTCTTTTCGGTGTATAGCTGCCATGGAGCCCCAAAGAGTCACGGAGGCTGAAATACTGTCAGGTTGACCAAGACTCGACAGGAAGGCTTAATCCTTCACGAATGGTTGGCTTCCCAGTGATGGAACCGGAGTGAGGCAGAATCACTCTAGTTATCGAGCTGTAAAGAGTGCTCTGTAGATCGTATTATTGCTTGTTCCATGTACGCGATACCACATGATTGTCGTCCGGAATGATTGTTCGATGAACCTGACTAGGAAGACTGTAAGTTGTTGAGTTGCGAATCACAATCCTCCGGTGAACAGCTAGCTTCATCCAGACGTTACACATTACTCATAAAGCCGCTGAAAACCCTTCGATAGCTCATGACCGGTTTCGCTATTTTTGGAGCTCACCAGGTAGGCGCAGCCTCCGAGTTTCGTTCAACGTTATCTTCTATTTGAACCCAAATTGCACGAAATTCGACAACTAGACATATTTGCGCACCAGTTCGGTAATCGTGGGAGACACCAGAAACCCCAAGAGGGTCGAAGCTGGTCATGGGCTGCGGAAGACATTTCAGCAACCTCGTGAGTAATGTGTTACGTCAACTTCAGCCAGGTTATATCGCCTGACAGGCACTTTCGTCCTTCCGATTGCGCAACCAGAGTCTATTGGATGGGATTCTAGACGGGCGACACATGATAGCAAAACCTTGAAAGTATTTCGTTTGATTGAGGAGGACACTTTCAATCGTTTCCCAAGGCACTCTCTTCTTTTTCGAAGCATTCACAGGCTACTTCACTCATGTCTCTAATAGAACACTCTCGACTGTTAAATGTGCCGTTGTCCTAACAAAGCCTTGTTTGCTCCACTGTTTAAGGCAGCGAAGCTTAAGTGCTGAACACTAGTGTTGTGCCGTCAATGGTGATGATGTAGTCGAATATCAGGCTTCTTGTTCCTTTATTTTCCACCGGCTTACACATTCAAAATTCAGGTCGCGGTAGCATTGTTGCTAATCCCACGTTTTGCCAGTAAGAGACCTAAAAGACCTTATATCTGCCCGTGAGTACTTGTTTGGCGGTGGATCGATCTTTTCTTAAGTGAACTTTTGACCTTGCTTTAACCAACAGCCATCGGTAGGTACGTCAGATGATGTGTGGTGTGTTTCTATCGTTGACTTTTGAAGCCAGATTTTCTCCGGCATGTGATTTCCTACAAGGTGAATTCACGTTTTTTGTTCCATTTGCCTTGAGTAATCTTATTTCTCTTTCCTCGTTAGCCCAGCAGTTTGGACACGTCTGATTATCGAAAAACCATTTGGACATGATCTTTCTTCTTCCAACGCTCTTTCGGCACATCTTGCAGAGCGCTTCACGGAATCTCAAATCTACAGAATCGATCACTATCTGGGCAAGGAAATGGTTCAAAATCTGATAATGCTACGGTAAATTCTATACTTCCCTGTCGCTGTCATCTTTGCCGCAAATCATTGGTCCCTGCTTTCTACTTCCACAATTTTCCCGATCATGAAATAAGACGGGGATCCATGGTCAAATTTTTTCCATATACGTGCGCAGTGTTGCCTCCCCCAGAAGTGAACGCTTCACTGAAGCGAACCAAACAACCTGGTCCCAATTTTTACGGCTGCATTACATTAGACTCCCATTAAGCAGCGCTGCATAAAATTTACAGGTCTCGGTAATTGAAATCTCTAGTAATTTCTTCAGACTATTATGTTGTGACGAGATCTTTCGCTCCAGTCTTCGTATCATCCCCAATGAGCACTGTTTGAAAGAAATGCACATACAACCTTCGGTGGTATACTTTTTTGGAAATGCAGTTAACCTGCTCTTCAGAACCATAGCATCTCACACTGGAGTTTCTGGAAAGTAGCTTTAATTGTCTTGCATCTTCAGAACACTGAATATCGCTCTGAAATGTCCAGTCTATTGATGGAACGTGTGCGGGATTAGGTAGGTTTTCGATGCGCTGTTAAAGCGAAGTTAGTAGACGAATCGACATATGGTCGTTTTAAAAATATCAGCAGGATGATAAGCCGGTAAGTTTGCAGGTTTTCGTAAACTCCCTGTGCTAGGAAACAACATGGGAGCCAATGACCTAGGGTGGGCAACGTTTGGGGTGAGGTCAAACACTCAGGAGTCGTCATAACAGTACAATAGCGCAGATATCTCAGAGTAAATACAGGCTCACGTTGTACTGATTTTTGAAGGATTGATTTACAAAGCTTTCATGATGGGCAATGCGAGTAGCCACAATTGGATCCGGTTAGCTGCTACCATACGACCTTGAAAGAATAGTGATATTAGGCAGCACGACGAAAAACACACAGTAATGCGAGTTAGGCATTAATAAGCCAGTAGCTTTCCAGCCACGGTACGATCTTCCGCGGCTTCGAAGTACCATACCGTGTGCTAGGAATGGTTGGTACCGTAAGAAGCCCACTCAGTCGAAGCATACGGAGAGGGAAGCTGGGTACTTACTACACAAAACGGAGTGTGAATGACCGCAAATCGTCGCTTGTCTGGCGAACCAATCCCACGGCAGTGGATGGACAACAACAAAGCTCGACTCGATCGCGTACAACCTGTCTTTCGGTTTTACTCAGGTAGCTAATCATTGAACGTACTGCTGCAAAAAAATAATCGTTCAGCATTAACACCTAGCTGCCATGCCATGTGAAGGAAGTACGATGGTTTGAATACTACCAGGTTACCCAAAAGTAGACAGGAGGAGGGTTGGTTCGAACCACTTGCTGATGTTTTGTGTACGAATGCTGTCGAATGCTGATAGAAACAGGATGCTTGTAAATCATCCCTCAAATCTAGGTGACTGTGTAGTAGACCCCTATTTTACCACATTTTACAATGGATGCTGTTCCTGCGAAGGTGGGCGTAGACTGTGCTACGCTGAGCATGGAACCACCTTAGTCCAATGGGCTAGAAGGTGCTGGAGTAGAGGCTCCTTTGAAGGCGACTTTTGGGATATTTGGTTATAAAGACGCTTGTTTGGGAACTAACTCAATAGAGAATGAAATCAAAGAGCAAAGGCAACGGAAAACCTGAATATACACTCATTTGCAAACTAATTTGGTTTTTAGAGAGATTCACCTGGAACCCAGCTGAATCTCTCGTTTGTGATGTGAATAAAAATATTTTTCTTAGTGGGTAGCCAAAACTTTCGCTTTGAAGTGACAGCCATGAGTTCAGATGAGGACTGTCAAAATTCAGTAGGACCTGGCCGTCTTAGTAAAAAACGCTGAAAAGCTCGCCAAAAACACTTTTCCAGTTTCAGCCATCTGTAGCACTAGTATTGGGCCAAGTGCTAGCCCCCCTTCCGCGAAGACTCAGCCCCCTAGGAGAAAATAAAATGTCCTTATCGTCGGTTGGATTACTGTGCCCAGTCTCCCGGTGTTCTTCCACTTATCTTTTTCAAGCTTTCCTTCTCTCATCCCTCGTAGCTTCTCAAATCACATCCTTAACTCGCTGTGGAATTGCGACCATATTGACAATGTCACAATCAGTTTCAAAGAACCTTTTGGTACTGAAGGTCGCGGTGGCTACTTTGATCAGTTTGGTATTATTCGGTGAGTAATGGTCAATATCTCTGTTAATTGATATTTATTTGGACGTGTTTTGTTATGAGTTACAGCAGTCTCTCTAAATGGTACCGCCTCACTAACTGGAACACTTTACTCCGGTCCCGCGAAATTCTCGGCGTCTGATAAATGTGAATGAAAATGCGTCGTGCATATTTTCCATTCTGGCTCTACGACTCCCTGGCAGGCAACACTCCAGCTATGGGGACATATGAGCACTACAAAACATATCAGGCGTTTTGTGTTTATTTACGGTGGTGCAGGATCCCCATATGTCAAATTTATTCCTATCCATTATTTTCGATGCATCTGCTTGGTACTGACGACGGATCGGAGTGAGTTATGATGCTGATCGTTAACTCCACAGTGGTCGTTATAATTATTCCAATCATTGCTTCACCCCATTCGTTGCTGAATTGCTTGATGGCAGTTCACTTTTTTATTGTTAATTCAGCTGTACAGGTCCATTTTCCTTTGTGAACGCGCCTTGAAGCGGACGTTGCCGCTTTTCAAAAGTAAAGTGCAAATCCCTAAACCAATTCGAACGTCAAAGTGTTCACGAACTATTACACAACTTTGGTGGCGCGTGGTCTCGAAACGATTTAGTGGAAGGAGTTGTCACTTGGGTTGATCAGTCTGAGTTCTGTTATTAGTTATTGAAAGCGCAACTCATGAAATACTGCCGTTGCAGGTCACACACGGATTTGGCACCGGTGTATTGGCGCTGGTAATGTTGGCCTCTGAACCTAAAGAAAAGTTCTTCTGGCTCTTTTCCCGTTGCGAAGACTCTGAGAAGCGTACACCCGATTCCTGTGGAATATGCTTCAAACAGCATCAACCGCGACGAAATTGATCCTTCAGCCCGATTGCTGGCATTCAAAATGTATCACACTGCTGCCGGCTGCTGCCTCTACCATTCATTTAAAAAGGTGGTTTAACGCCTTGCTTGAGGAACTTATACCAGAACCAGCTTTGTGTCTTGGAGAGCCTGCATAAAAAGGAAGAAATTCAATCGACGTTTTTAGTGTTTCAATTACGGTTTGCTTTATAGAGGTACCAAAAACAATGGCCGTTCCCGAAAGACCGCGATTCGTACTAAAAGATTTGGCGGATCACGGTTATCTCCCTCCACCCTCAAGTATTCATCAGACCCGTTCGATCGCACCCATGAGTTCATCGAACTGCTAAAATCCAATAAAGACGCACCTCGCCTAACGTTACTGCGATAGGAAGAAACGCCTACATCTTCAGGTAAATATCAAGACCGGATCTGTGGTTATTCTGACGATTCACAGGAGGAGGAACATCACGATGCTAAAAGGTTCGGATTGTGTTCAGCTACCTTTGGACGTCCAGTGTGCAGTCGGTCACCATTCACGACTACGAGGTGGTGGTCACTCTCAGGCAGTGCATGACGACTGACCAATGTCAACTTTCGTTGTAGCGGAGACCGTTGTAAAACTGATGTTTCGTTCATGAAAGACGAACCAAACAGTCTGAAAGAAAATGACTCTGGATGAAAAAGATCAGCGGGGTGCAGCCTCTGTCAAAAAAAGGTCCCAAAAATACCTTTTCTCTAATTAATAGGCTTCTTTGGAAACTTCGCCTTTTGGCGCCGAGCAGCGGCGTCTATCTTTTACTCATTGTGGAAAAGCCATATATGGGACGAGCGTAGATACACATTAACTGCGGGCGCAATCAGTTTTAACGGATTTTAGCTAGCTTCACTCACAAATATTCCTCAACACAAGCCTGATGCTGACCGGTAGTTCGGCTAGGAAGCGAATGCTTTATGACTACTATGCTCAACCAGTACGGGTCGAATCGCACTGACCCTAACCAGGTGGGCACTAAGATTCCTTAATACCCCATTTCATGTTCCCACATCATATACTGCCCACCATGAGCTCATAATGATAGAGGACTATCTAGCGGTTTTGACTGGGTGAAGCGCCATTTAATTGTGGACACGTTGCAGTCAACTGAATCCTGCTATGTTACTATGTGCCCAAAAGAAGGATACAAGCAAGTGATTTTTCTAGCTCAGGTAAATTTCGATATACCTCTTTTCTGCCGGCGCACTGCCAAAGTCTAGATGTTTATCGAAAAGGTGAGTAAAGCCCGTACTTCAAGAAATCAGCAGAATAACGTTTAAGTCATTTAAACGTCATTTAAAGTCATCTAAAAGTCATTTAAAACTACGTAAAACCTACGTAGTTCACTCTCCAGAAGAGGCTTAGAAGTTCCCTTCTACGTGGTGATCTCTATCAGAACAACCTTGTTTCATCTACTCTTGTGCTTAGCAGGTCGTGTAGCTTCAGGACACTGCCAAAAGAGGGCCAGCTCTTATCATGAATTTACTCATGGTGCATTGCCCTCAGTTAAGTAGTTCGTAATGGGCAATCAACCGGTTATGGGATTCTTCATGTGGCTAGGCTCTTCGGGAACTAAACGGGTTTTTACCAGTCTTTTTATTTCATTGGCCAATACGAGGACCAGACCACTACTGGCCCATCCGATCACCTTCAGTGTCTTCATTGTTGCTTGTTTTTTTACTTCTGTCGCAAAACTAGAACCTTACTCCAAGACAGTAAAAGAGTATAACCCAACTAACTGTTAATGAACAGCAATGCATGGAAGAACACTTCAATTTTCAGTGCGTTTTTATCCAACTAGCGATCGAATGAAGACCATTCATCCACTCAACCTCATAACAGACAAGTGGCACTAATAGACTATTGAATCCTCTCCTCACACAAGACTGAAAACCAAATAACCGTGCATTATTCAGCCGTTTATTCATCTGTTATCTGCACACCTTACGCAGTCTGTACTAGTGGATTAGTGCTGTCAACTCCGAATCCCATGTAGCCCCACGGTATTCATCAATTAGTGGTGCTTTACTGACAGAATACTTACGACCGCTTCGCCAATCTGCGCTGAATGCTCATCAGTCATTATATATGATATATATGTATATAGCACATAACATTAGATATATCGGTTGGGCGTAGATTCACTTTTTTGGTTTGTACACTACCGACAAGAGAACCCAGTTATCACGAAACCCAACTGTAATATCTTAAGACGCGATATCGACAAGGCTACAGACAAATCTGAGTTACATTCGATACCATCTTTGAACCGTTCATTCTTCGATATGTGTGCTCCTGTATTAGTAGTTTGTCAAGAAAATAATTCACAACAATCTTTATTTTCAGTGACGTTGTGCAGAATCACTTGATGCAGATACTCTCATTAATCGCAATGGAACAACCAAAATCGCTTGGAGCTGATGATATTCGTAATGAGAAGGTGCGTTTATTAAATGCTTTCCCCCGAATGGCTTTTTCCAGTCCATCCTAAAATTCTAATATCGTGTTGCATATGTGATGGTTTGGATAATTCCACCTCCGAATTGACTTCATTCAACTTCGTTAAGTTCATTTCAGTTGGCAGCCGATTATCGGCAGTTGTAATGGATCTGTGCTTGATATCTGCAATACTCACAGGTTTCGAGGTCCCAACTACAGTGTTTCTAATTGTATTTAACACCAACGGGTGAATTCCGTTCTCCGCATGAGCAAGACAATAACTTTATACGTAAGGTTGTGCAGAATTCTTGGACAGCAGTTCTTCTTCAGCAACCTTACATAGATACATGTATCGCGACATCTCGAATATTGTACCATCTGAAAAATGAGGCGGCCTAGTGTAGCACATTGAGTTGCCTGGAGACATCACAAACGAGAGATTCAGCTGGGTTCCAGGTGGGTCTCTTGCAAATGAGTGCATCTCGCTAAAGACAATAACGTATTTAAACCAGTCCATACTTTGGAGATCATGTATACCCACAGAAATATGAAATATTTCCTGGATACTTTGTCGGGTTAGGTATCAAAGTAAACCAGCGTTTTATCTGGAGCTCTGTACAACGGTGCGATGCTGAGGTTGATTATGACAGTTCATAAGCAGACAATGGGCACCTGAACTAGTAACAAGCTCACCGGTTTGTAGTGGAGCGTCAAACATATTCGGCAAATGTTCCGAGGTCTGTCGTAGTCGAAGGAACTTTTGGCTGAAATGATTAGGAAGTCATATATGATTGACTCACAAACAGAAGACAGTGATCTTCAGTTCGCTGTCTGCACGGTTTGAAGAATTGAATCATAATTGGGGATCGTCCACGGTTTGTGATGCCGTTTCTGCAGTAGATCAATATCAAGTGGTCCATTCAGACGCAGAGGTCACTACAATACCCGTAGTGATCATTTCTTGCCACTAGTTTGTAAATAAAAGATTCGAAAAATGATGCTTGGACACTGCAACACCTTGATCAATGCTGTTGAGAACGATGCAATCGTTCCTCTCACGGGTTTGATTGTCAGTGTGCTGAACCCAGATACGGACATTCGAAGAACGTGTAGGGCGTTGTGACGTACGAGTGGGTACTTACATACGATGGCCTACATGCGGGGTTGTCTCTTTGATACCATAGATCGATTGTTGATAGAAAGCATTAGTTTATGTTCGAAATCCATGTCAAAACTTCTGCATAATTTAATGCTGGAGCGAGATGGTTCAGTGGTTAGCGCGCGAATTTACTAACCGGAAGGTCCTTGGTTCGAACCCGACCTCTGCCTCTCGACTTCCCTTATCTAGGCTTGGGCAACCTCGTGCTCCCTTCGAGTGGTATGGAAGGTGTTACAGGTGAACGATAATTTAATGGGGGGAAGAAAGGAATAACATCGCATACCTTCAGGTGTGCTGATTTACACATGGGTTTGATAGCGTTTCGAAATCTTCCAGTACGTGGTCCGATACTCCAAGATTTCCAGATTTAAACTGGCCACAAATTCAGAAAACATCTGCATCTGGATGCGAAAGGGAACCATTATGCATTGAACGGTTGTCTAGAGAATCAACAATGGATGACTTCGCCTAAATGGAATTAGACTGATAGTTAGAATCAGCATGTCTTCTATGGACAGACTATTGACCTGCATTACTTACAAGTCAATCGCAGACTGGACACGTATGGTACCCTGTATTTAGCCATAGTTTAACGTGAGATTTGTGGTGTATCCTGCAGAATGTGTGGGAGGGTCCGTTATGTTCAGAGGTCAAACAACCATCGCAGTAGCATAGCTTACTGTGGTTTGTCACGGTCTGTTATGGGCTGTACGGCGATGGTCACCAGAAGCCACAATTGTGAAGTCATCTGTCTGAAACTATCAAAGTGTGATAAACTTCCTTTTCCCCGTCATTGTGTCCCTGACCGGTCAGCCTGTTTGCCGGTGGTCAGTTTGTGTAACAGCCTGCGCGCAACTACCTCAAGAATCATGTTTCAGTCTTGGTGCAGACTCCATCTAATGGAGCTTGACACGTGATAACGGGTGATGTGTTCGCACTTCTCATCAGCGTTCGTAAGTTCTCCGGCTGAGTATCACAGTTCATCACGTGTGTCCGCAACACCGCAATACACCGTCGTCTACATACTTGAGAATCCAAGCCTTAGTATGGTGAACCACACTGCGCCGAAATGCCTGATGTGCAGTCTTCTATTAAGCCAATTTTCGAACCGTAGACTAGAATCTTCCATCGTGGATGCCGCTTACACACACATGATGACGACCTGAAAATCACGAATAGTGTCGCCTGCGCATTAAGGTCAAACTGATGGACGTACGTGTTTGTTCATTTCTTTAATGTCACCATAATTGAGCAAGCGACTGGGATTCTATAGTAGCACATTGGAGTTTTACAGCCTTTAGGACACCTTGTTTCACCTCCAAAGATTGTAAAATTAAAACACTCCGACTTAGAAGGACTGAACTGAAGATAATATTTTGACCATCGCTATGATGGTAATCCCGATTTTTCCGTAGATCCGATGGCAAACAGCGATGTGAGTTTTACCATGTCCCTTACCGAATTTTAGGCACTTCTCCTCCGAATCGGACTCACATGAAGCTATAGAATGTTTTTGTAATCAGAGAACACTAGGATTTCGCACATTACTTCGCAACACTGATCAAAAGAGTTGGGGGATTGGCTTTTGAGTATACATGGCGTTGCTCCAACACCTGACGGATCGTGAAGGTGTGGTCCGCGCAAGCTCTACCCAGTCGAAATCCCGCGTCATGCTCACTGGTTCCGCGTGCCGTCGTAAAAAGGAGGAGGATCGACAACGCCAAAAACCTTGTTACAATGGGAGTCAAACTGACATCTCTGTGGCTACTGTATTGACTGTGAATTCCTGTGAACATGTGCTCCATTATCCACACGGTCGTGCATGGTCTCGTCCTCGCAGATGGATTCACTCTGTTACATAGGCACTGGCTGAGGAATGCACTGCTGTTCTCTTCAGGCTGAAAGGATGGTAATGCTTGATTAAGGAGATACGCGTATATTTCTGAGCCCTAAGGCATTCCAAATTCACAATCCACGTTTCTTTCCCGGTCCAGCAGTGCGGATTGGAAGTAGCAGTAGCCCAATGATTTTTTGCTCGAAGTACCCTGACGAAGTGTGTTAATAAAACAGCTAGCTGGCTCGGTCCAGTTGACCTTAGGTTTGTCGTGAACATGAGGCCCGTGTTTATGACACGATAACGATGTGCTGCAGAAGAATGTGTGTACTGTCTCTAACCAATCGTCTAACACTCGTCGACAAATAACCCCATCTTTTTCCTCTAATTTGGCAATGAGAAGCTTGCAGACTTCCCCCTCTAGTGTTAGGTCCCCGATTTTGTGCTCATCAGCAAGTTGTTCTGGATTGCCAGTTTGGTAGTTCATTTCGAGTGGCCTAAACAGTGGAACCGCTTTCCCACCATACGCCACTCAGCCCCAACAGTGTTTTTCTTGCGGTGAAGGACTCCCGTATTCGGCATTTGATTCGTTCATTTGACCGAAAGGATTTCTCCAAGACACTGTAGGTAAAATCAACCAAGAACCCAAACGTGTCTTTCGGTATCCAATTTCCGCTGCCATACAATAGTGAAGCACAAGAGACCGACGCCTTACCATCTTGTCCATGTGCGAATGATGATTGCCCAAGATGCGTTTTTTACGATGACCAGGTGCCTTGCTAACCTTTGCAATTCGTGCGTTAACTTCGCCACTTACCGTCACGTCTGTGGATAGCATGTTGTAGATATAGAAGAAAGCCGTGCATCATGCTATCTCCCATGCATAAACCTTAATAATTAATGTTTCATGTTGAATCTCCGGTGTACACTGATAATAGACAAGAGTTCCGGAAATTTTTGTACTAAAGCCAGATCAAGAACCGCTGGGTCCAACGCCTTTGCCACTTTATTTCCGCTTCGGAGTACGAAAGTAAGGTACAGTGATCTGAAGACAACCGCATACGAGCAGTGGACTTACGCACCAATATTCTGGCCGATATTAAACAAGTAACCATCCAACTGTTATTGAACTGCAACCGATCGTAAAGGCTGAACAAGACTTGGACAAAAAGGCAAACTCGTTTGAATTCAATGTCAATTCCGAACTGGCTCGAGTTAGTTGCGCAGGCCCGCAGCTGGGCTTTGTTCCGAGCCCGAGAAGCTTTGATGAGGCTGAAAAATTCTGGCATTCTGTGGAGTGACTGATTCTATGACGTTTCTGTTGGATTCCTCTGGCTGCAATAATTGTGCCACTTGTATTTCGGTCTCTTCGAAAGAACACTTTCATCCAGAATGCCAGTGACTACTCAACTGACCAGGATAGGAGGCATGTGACATGTATCATTGCATCAACTATCATTATTTCTAGACTATCGTTTGCGTATCGTCAACGAACAAGTCCTCATTGACCCGTGAGTGCGTGCTTTTGTATGCTTCGTCATTCTCGTGTCGTGTCGACTATTATTTGTTCTATTTTCAAGCACTTCTTTGGAGAAATATAGATACTGATTTAAAAGCGTTGTGTGAAGAAACAAAAATGGCTTATGTCCGATCTTTTCGTCATTCCAGCTAGAGTCCAAGTGATAATACGATAGCTCTGAATATATAAACAGGTTACTTTCAGCTGTCAGACCCAGTCCCCTCCGCGGTCGATAAGACCTCCGTCCAGACACCTAGTTGACTGCCGGCCACCGTCTTGATAATATAGCCCCCATTTCCCCGATAATGGTTTTAATTTGCGATCCAAGTGAATGTGATCACTTTTAAATGAATTTTACCCAGTTGTAAGTCCACTGTGTGGTTGCATTGTGTAGTGGAGCACAGATCTTTAGACACCCTCATCTGTACAATTATTCAGTGTTTTTGGCAATGGTACATTGGCTAGGTTTGGTAATACTCACCTAAGTATATATTGAATGGACAGTAAGAGGTGATATCTGTGGTTATCCGCATGGAATAAAATTATCTACTTCCTTGTTGTGGTATTCATACACAGAAGTCCTATGGTGACCGTGTAGCGGATGAAAAAGTAAGTGGCCTGACTGTGACGGTCGATCGCTCTCTGCCTAAAGCTGACAAGTGCTTAGTTCTTTCTGTTGGGCTACTCAGAACATCTGGAACCACTGGACCATTATTTTCTCCCACCAATCCACACAAATCCCATTCAGTTCATCGTTTTCAATCCTTTGTTTTTCCCCACGACCTACGATTCCGTTCACCACTATTCAGGTTTCTCAAATAAAAACTTTCTGTTTGTGCAATTTTTTTTAACAGCTTTATATAAAATTTTCAGTTCCTTTAATGTGCCAACACAAGGAGTATATAATTTTTATAAATCCCTGAATAAACACATGAGGGTACGTGAGATCCTGTCACTCATTTTATGGCTGGGCTCATTTATTTTTTCGGGTGGCAACGACTTCTATTCCCTGTATTTTTGCGCTGATTCCTTGCTCTCTAGGGCATCCTTACCGAATACCGTCTTATCACGCCGTGTATCTGGATGCGGTGAAAAAGCCAAAACAATGTCCTTTTATGTAGCATTCGCATTGAAATTTTTGGGTGTTTGTAGTAAATTTCGTATTTTTTGACTCCTCCTACGTTTGAGGTGAACAAAACCTTTTCCGTATTCCATCGGTTAGTTCTGTGCGAGTAATCAAATACTTTTGAATCTCCTTGGTTCAACACTACCCCTGCTGTAAACTTCCTGGAGTTTGGCTTCCCGAATAATGGTCCCTTAGAATAAAGAGCCAGTTTTTTTCCTATCTGGTAAAAGCATCACACCCAGCGGCCTAGCTACGCCGTTCAGATTACCTAACAGCATTCGATTAGGATACTTAATTCGTCAGCAGTCCTGGAAATGTGTTTGAGCCATGCTAACAGAAGACTTGAAGAAGATCGTAATTTCTGTGGGGTAGGTTACTCGCCGTGAATCAATCTTCAATGTTTCAGAAGGGCTTTGATTACCCCCCTCCCATCCTCTGTGTCCCTTCTATGAATTGAAAACCAGCCTTACCCAGTCCCAGTTGGCTACGTGGCTCTATGAGTGTCCACTGTAGCCCTTGCCTTACTGACTTTGAGCTACAACTAACTGACTTTTCCACTTCGACGCCAGTTCTAGAAAAGCAACCTTACTAACCTAAGGAAACAGCTTTCCCGTTTTGTTTGGAACCACCTCAAAAGCGGAATAGTCGGGTTTCAGCGGGATTTAATCCTTACGAACCTTTGGAGAAAGAATTAGCACTTGAACAGAAGCAGCTGTATTCACACTGAATTACCTGTCCCTTATCTGGAGACGTGTCATCCGGTATTATCCTTGATCAGTCAGACACACACGATACATTGTTGCACAAGCAAACGTTGTGCAGATGTTGTTGGACTCGAGTTCGTTCGACTCAAGCATCCTCGCTTGCCTTTCAAACGCAGACCTGGGTCACATAGTTATCACTAATAGTTGGTTGGTTTTTCGAATTTCGGTCTTTCTGAAACGGTTTCTTCGAAATTTCTTGGTGTTTATCATCTATCACCTTGCTGTTAGACTGATGGATCTGTTGGTTGGCCTGATGGGTATTGATCAGGTAGTTGTTGATATGTTCACCAAGCTTGGCACTTAACTTACAAACCGAACTGGAAGATATGGTCGATGGGCGGTTGACTGGGTACTTCCTGATCACCTGTGTTTGTTAATATAGCTTTTGAAGAGTATTTCTTATATCTGGATATTTTTGGCCCATCGGGATACAGTCTTACCGGAAATTCGTTGGTATATTTGTTATTTGTATTGCTTTGTGCTATTTCTTTGGTTTGATGCAGTACCTCAATGACTATTTTTAGTAGTTTCTTTTCTCAGTTAGCCTATCCTCAAATTGGATTGCGTTGTGGTCTGGTCACGAAGTTGATTGCTTTGTTGCAGTTCCGTGTTTTCTGCATTGCAGTGGCGGGTATTCATGCACCCGCCCGTTATGCAAATCGTTTCTTTAATTTACTGGTTTGGTGCATATTTTTTACTCAGAGTTCCTCTTTGGTTCCTTGTGCAGTTTCGAGCTGTGTGGTTCTGGCGCTCTGTTGTCATTAGTGGGCGATAACTGGATGGCTTTTGTCTTGGCGTCTTCGGCGGAATGCCACGTTTCCATAACTTCGCTTTCTTTCTTCGTTCTTACTTCAGCCAGTGTGTGAACATCGTTCCAGTACATTGATGTGAGGGAGAATTGTGCCTGTCTTCCAGTAGCGAGTTTGTGTTCATGTATTCTCGCGGAAAGCTTTCTTTCAATCTGTCCGATGTAGCGTTTTTATCGCAATACTTGTATTGGTGTTGTTCTTCAATATATCCAATCTATACTTTGGCTTTGGTAGCGTCCTCCCGTAACATACTTGGAGGTTTATGAATGGCCGTCGTATTATGTTGTATAGGCGCTGCAGTCATTTCAGCGACGCACTTGATGTATGGGTTGTGATTCGTTTACCTGTCATTGCTGTTATATTAGTCGTATTTAGCTTCCTGAGCGATCGCCAATTAAAGTTTCATCGGTTCCCATTTGTCTGAAGAACCATGTGTCGGAGTTTTTTCTCAATCCTAGATTCTATGGTGTTGTAATGTGTCTCGATCCGCTTAAGCAATGTCCTTGATTATGGTGATTTAAATGGCAGCTCAGAAATTGGTTAGAACAACGAAAAACTGGGATCCCTGGACGTCCTCATCGCTGAGTTGCCAATGGGACTGCTACAAGCTGAGGCCCACAGAGAGGTGACTTTCTTCAGTAAAACAAAACACCCCAGTTTGGCATAATGTTCACAATGGATTTCCTGGGGTCAACGCTGGTCTTCCACGGTTCAGTCAGGTCTTATCAAAACTGCTCCGCGTCAGCTTTCTATGGGCTGTCTGTATGAACCACGCTTAGATCAGTTTCTCCGTTTTCTCTTTGTGTACTGAGGCCCAGTTCCGGTTCTCTATTTTTCGACCCCGCTGCATCCGCTGACGAAGCTGGCCTGAAATTTCTCTTTCGGGTTGTTGCTATGGCGTCCAATGTTTGTGTCATTTATTTTTGTTCTTATCAGGGAACTATGGCTCCGTGATGTGGTAAAGAATTTCTTAGGCTGGTGCAATAGAAAAATGTGGAGGACATTCTATGACAGTCTCAACAGGAAGTTGCTGGGATCTACCGAAAGTGGCATCGTCTTCCCAGGCGGTTGAGATGTGTGAAGATTTTATGTATAGAGGGATAAGAAAAGGCCACCTTTCGGGAAACCGATATGAAACGACTCATTCAGTATGTCCCTTCTAACGAACGTCACTCCATCGTCTGTGGTTTGTCACCTACAAATAGCTCAGAGGATAAATACTAAACTCCTGGTTATCATAGCCACTATCCGAATCCATTTCTGACTGCTTAGATGAGTTTCCGAAGGCCTGGACAGCTTTCGTCTTTTTTTTACCTCTGTACAGATAAAGGACGTGTGTATTGTCACCACTGTATCCAACCTGTGTTTCAAATGCATATTGCTATTTCTCGACGTTTGTTGGATTTTCACCCTCCATTCACTCACCCGTTCGGCTATCCACATACACGTCAAGCTTGAACCCTATGATTAGGATTTGCTATGTGCCTTTCCCCTACCATACAATTAATAAGGCAAAAATTCGTCTCTCCATGTTATTATGCTTGAGTTACTTGTTCCACCCAAAATCTAATGTTGATGAACTACTTGGGAGTACGGCACTGTCTTGACCTGTTTTCCTGTGCTTTCAGTTTTTTTTTCAATCAGGGCGTGTTTGTTGTATGATTGAGAAATTGACGGTTCCATAGGAGAATTAGTCGCTTATTTGGAATTTTCGACAGACGTAGAAGTTCGGGATTACGCCTGTTTGAAGGGCTTCAAAGCTATTTTCCTCTCAAAACGAAAACCTTATTTCTGTTTCATTGTAGGTTAAGGCGTTGCGCAGCGTTCAGCCCGTTTCACTTAATGATGTGGTGGTTGGTCAGTACGTTGCCGATCCCAAAGCAACCGAGCCACCGGCCTCTCTTGGTTACACAGACGATCCCACTGTCCCCAACGGTAGGTGAGGCCTTTTACTTATCAAGATTATCCCATTAATTACGGAGTTACATAGATTATTCCTTCTACCTTGCATCCTGTCCGGAATAGTCGTAGCTCTTATCAATCACCATTTTATCTCAGAGTCTCGGTATTTGTTATTTAAGTTTTCTGCGCAAGAATACACTTTGATGGTTGGTCCTCCTAATTGTCCTGAGCTCCAAACGGTCAGTTATGCTTACAGTTCATTGTCGCTTATGTAAAGGGTTGACTGCGCGGACAAACCGTTTACTACCTAAAGCTTCCCGCTTGGTAATTTTATCGTCACATCAGCATTCTTTTCGACCAATCACCTCTGACATTTGTACTGCTTCACGCGCAAGCGAATATGCTCGCGTCTGTTTGAGTTCATCCATGAACGTTCGGTTTCTCCCCTCCGAATCTGATTGTTTAAAACAGCGAATCCCTTTTATCCATATCATTTTCATAGCAGGCAAACGTAGACGTAAGATGTTGATACTTCAGTTGATTTTTCCAGGTGGAAGGCACGGCGAATGACATTTGTAAAATAGCAACAGCATACAAAGTAAGACACGGTCAGCTTCAGAGTAGACACGAGTTTCGGATCAACGCTGCCTCTCTAGCGTTAACCAGTACGACTGCACTAAATCCCATTAGTCTCAGATTGGAATTGCAAGCTGCACTGATCACAGTCGAGTGATTGCTATTCTCGGATTTCGCTTGATTGATTGCACGGTTCATGTTTGTATCTATGTATTCGAAACTGAAATGTACCGATCCGTTCCATCATCTACTAATGAACCCATAAATAACAGATTACAGCGACCTGATAGTAATCGGGACAAGCTGGGTAACTTTACTTCGAAGTTAACCTGATAAAAGTTCCTTGCTATATGATCGCCCTTGATTAGAAGGCTCGCGACTACATTCTTTTTTTCGGGACGTAGTATGGCGATGTAGTCTTTCTGTTTACGAGAACGTGTATTTCTGTATAACCATTTATTTTAAGAATTTCTCAGAAAGTCACTTCTATTGTTCGCTGACCTATGGTACGTGTATTCTTGGCTGTGTACAAGTGTGTTTGCAGCAAACCTTATGGATGAGCGTATGTTCGTCAAGTAAAATTCAAAACAACAACGGACCGTTTGTCATTGAGTCACCATAAAACTAAAAGAACACAGACACGATAGACAGCAACGTTTAGTGGAACAGTGAAGCTATAGGAAAGATAATCTGAATACTGGACGAGTCCGTGACGACAACCGTTGATTGACACTGCGTGAGTAAGAGCGACGTGTACAGAGCGGAAATGATGACCAAGGTAAGATAACCCACAGGAAGACAACGCCGTCTGTCCGTCTATTTAGGATAAATTCATTTTTACCATTTTTGTGAATGTATATTTCGTTCACGGCTCCGGAATACCTGGCCGGATGAATATCATTAATTTATTGGTTGGGAAACCGCATCATACCTTCAGACCGTCGTTTTGCACGAACTTTTGGAATGGAACAGGTTCTCTAAATTAAGGACTGCTATAAAAACGGTCGCAGTGGACGCTTCCGACAGTATTTGGTAGGTAGTCGCCTGGCGTTCACTTTCCCGTTCTCACTTAAATTGTGGTTCCTTGTGAACCACGGCTTCAACTGCAGTGATTGGCCTTAGCTAGTTTTTCCTGTCTCTGCATAGGCATTTCGCAACGATTCACTTGGACGTCTGTATTAAAACTGATATGTTTATAATCGTTTAATTTTCTCTGGATTGGCATTTTAGCACTTCTTCGTGTGTAAAAACAACTTGCAGTCGTCTTCCAAGCAGTGATTGCGCTGCATTCTGTTCATTACACAGTACGTTTTGATTAGGCGAATTATCCCAAGCTTCACCTGTAGTCCAGCTTTCTAGTGTCGACTCTTCTAAAGGGCAGTTCTGTCTCTCAGGCACAGGATTAACGGATGGACTGTGTGGTACCGCGCTAGAACTTCTGTTGTAGTAGGTAGTGTCCAAACGCTGACGGAATTCACTTCGAAAGTGCGGATCTTTATTCGAAATAACCTCTTCTGATAAACTATAAACGTGTAAACAAATAGCGGAGACAATCAATCATCGCCGTTGCGGTCCTTTCACCATATCAGGGGGGCTTTAGGCTATTTACTGTGGGAACACTTTGTAGCCGAGTTTTCTTTGTGCTAGTCTTTGCAAACTGGTCCATATTATTGAACACATCATTTATCTATGTCCGCGTTGGATACTGTGTGGATTAGATCAGTGTACCAGCGCACACTGTCTTTCGAATGTTCGCGTGCACAGCAGTAACAATAATAGTCACAGGTAAAAAGATGCATTGCATGACCCCAAACGGCCGTTCAAATTAGGCTCTGTTGCATGACAGGACGTTCTTCTCATAAAGTACAAATCTGTTGGTAACAAACAGTGGTTTTCATAGTGGAATTCAATAATAGTCACAGGTAACAAGATGCATTGCATGACCCCCTAAACGCCCGTTGAAATTAGGCTCTGTTGCATGACAAGACGTTCTTCTCATAAAGTACAAATCTGTTTACAAATCCGCAGCTATTCTGATAGTTCAGTGTGCCCATAAATCATTGGTAGATTCATGTGACTTTTAAGTATGCATAATACTTTTCATGTTCGCTAATGAGTTCAAGAGTTGCAGCTCACTGTCTGTTGGTTATAAGTGATATGTTTCATTCATGTCTCTGTGTTCTAGTTTTCACACTTGGAAGTCTGCACAGTGTATCAGAAACCTAATTGTAGTGATTCACACTTGTAGTTCAAAGGTAGTTGGTACCGCCGAATTAACCGCAGCAATCCTTGTCTCTCGCTCCCGCAACCGAGCAAGACTTTCAGTGTACGGTAGTCAGCTGATTAAGCAAAAAATAAAATAAACTCAATATCATAATAAAGCTGGCGAAATAATAATAAACGTAGAGATAATTTTATTATTCTATTACCAGAAGCCAAAGCCTAAGGAGGTAATTATTTTTCACTTGTGGAAAATCGTGTTCAGTATTTGAGAAGTTTCTAAAGTAGAGTATTGAACGCTCGCAGAACAGAAATATGGTCAGTAAACGTCCCATTCGAGCTGTTGATCCAGAAATGATCTCGAGCAGACAGTTGAATTGTGTTACACAGAATATAGAAGCCAGAGTTCCTGTTTTCGGTAAGTAGGACTCAACATGACGGGAACAGGCCGCTGTTTCCGACGGACATTAGCATCTGGTCGGACACTGAATCACTAACGAGAGCTAATCCGGTCGTTAAATCGGTTTGTGATGACAATCACCTAATCACCCTACGTAACAACGAAGTGGGCAGAAAGAGTGAAAAAGAACAAATTACAGAGGATTTCGTTAGCCCCAAAAGCCCCATCCCCGTGTGCAATTAGCATCTTCAAATCTAATTCTTGTAGGTCTCATAATTTTCAAGTCTTCCAAAATTTACAGATGACACTTAACTGTTTATAGTTAAAGTTTCCGACAGATTTTCAAAGCAAGTCAAGAAATCATTTTGATTAGCAAATTAATAAAAGACAGAATATGACGATAGATAGTATTTTCAAAGCACGTGAAATGAGGATATTGTCCACCCCATTTGATCTTTTGGTGGACTGAGTAGCATAGAGCTCCGTCGAGTCTTCTACTCATCGAGATCTCTAGAAAGCTGAGTTGTCATTAAAATTCGTTCACTCAGACACCGAAAGGTTCTGCTCTACATAGTTAGGTTGACCAATGAACGACCTGGCGTGTTCCCAGATGGAAGCAACAAAATAGCATGAAGAAAACGTTTATGGAAACGGATCCACTTGATCACGTAACTATTGTAGGTTCAAAGTGAGCGTAGAAAACACGGATGTATTGCGCACATGAGGCCCACAGGCCCACTTTATAAAAGCACGTATACAACTGTGATCATGTGTTCGGACGTCACACAACAATCCTCTTATTATTGACCAACGGACACGCAAGCTACGATTAGGTCTAACTAGCTGATCAGCCTCTGCGGCAATACTTCTTGCATCCTCTTCAAATTCAGAGCGAATATTTTCTGTGGTGGTCCTTACTTGGATCAACAGGGACTTAGTTTGGAGGTTCTGAATTTGTTTTTGCTCCGACGCTTGAGTCATGTGCTATGTACCGGAAAATTCCGAGCTTCCAAAGCAAATTACTGCTTGTTTTTTTGTCTGTATAAAACAACGGCGACAAAATGAGGTGAGTCCTGCCGGGTGTGAGTTTACTGGGGTCATCTTTTGCGATTCCGTGAGTTGTTGTCAAAAGAACAACTCCAGACAATTAGATCAATGTGTGGATCGCGAAAGTCTGAGCTGCACGAGCGTTTTCTTGTTCGTTTAAACTCATCAGTTGGGTGCAGTTGGATCGTACCAGAAACACCAGTCGATAAAGGCTGACGTGTCCCATCCCTCTATGTCAACGTGGTTAGTTTCAGTATAAAAAAGAGCTCATGTGACAAAGTTCTTAAGCATCCGGTTAAATTCTAAGTCCATGACTTAGTGACTGTTAGGTAATTGCAATCGTTCAGCTGTAGCACACTTTCAGTACCTGGCTACCACACCAACCGAAGGATGCACGAGGGCTTTGATACTGCCAGATTGCCCGAGCCTAGACAGGGGAAATTGAGAGGTAGAAGTCTGGTTAGATCCCCGGACCTTCCGGTCAGTAAACTCTAGCCACTGAGCCGTCTATCCCCCTCCCCAGCTACTCGGGAAAGTCCAGTGATTGGTCAGACAGGGCTTTCTGACTATTCATCAGTGATCATGTAGGTATTAGGGAACAACAATCCTAGAGGCATCTTGGGAACAATTGTATAGAGAGACTCAGTAGATCTTTGCATACAGTTTTATTGGTCTTTTTTCATATTTCTCATCAACGTGGATTAAAATCACAAAATAACAGGAGCAAAAGATTGCGGATCTACACTCGTCTTTCTAACAATCCCATACAATCGCGATATTAAATAATGACCTCAACGCATGTCCCTGAATCACGTTCAGCGTGCTTTGCTCCTACTCGGTCGGACGGCATTTTAGCACTTTTCCGAATGGGCTTTGTCTTCCAGGCACCCAGGTCCATTTTGAAAGCTTATTTGATCACACCAGATATCTATGAGTTTCTGATGCAGAAAACAAAGTCATTTGTCTTTCCGGAGCAGTTTTTGTCTTCTCTAGTGAGGTACAATCGTTGTCCACGCCCCGACTATCATCAGACTACAAATCAACTTCAAACCATGGCATATTTGTTTCTAGGTATCAAGAAAACAGTTCTTGTATTTTAACGTTGAACAGAAAAGAGTATGTTTCGGAAATGAATGTACTACTTTCCAACCAAAGGTAATTCCGGAGAAGTGCCACGACTTTAAACTTACATTTGACCGGGAAATGTGGCGACACAGTTCCAACCATTGCTGCTCTATACAGCCAAAACAAACAACTCGGATTCATCTGAACGAACACCATAAATGAGCTGTTCTTTAGAAACCCGTGAAGAAATTATCCCGATTAAACGGATTGTGAGTAAGTGAAGTCGAGCTTATCACAATCTGGGTCTCATCGGAAACTCTGTTAGACTTTGGAACATTTTAGTGAGTTCTCTCTTGATGATCCCTTACAGGAGATGATTGATTACTTATGTGGAGTTATCGTCAGGATATCCAACTAGGTTTTCCCTTTGATCTAATTAGGAACCACAGTTGATTGTGTACGGAAGATCTCGGCTTTGAACCTAAAGAGAAGGCTCATGAATAAGTACTAGGGATCACCGGCTGTTGAACTCGATGAAAACAGGTAATTCATGTTATCCTTTCTGCCCATCCTCACTACGTTTACGTTTTTGAAATCCTGGACCACTGCCACTTAGTGAAGGTTTACTAATCAATGCATGATGGACGGCCTTTTGTCCACGTAAGTGTTGATCAGAAACTCTTGTCCACGCCCCACCTCCATGCAGAGCAGTGTATCGTCTCATGAACTGTTTTTACACATTTATCCAACAAACATCACTTTTTCCTCAACGACGTATGTCTAGGCCTCTGATTCACGGGTTTATTTGGTGATATGCGGCCTTAAAGGTCCGCAACGGACCACAACGTCCTCACCTTCATAACGTGCTGAGTTTATTTCGAACTTCTGACCGTCGTAGGTTGTTTTTTTTTCTTCCAACAAATGAACCACACTAAATAGTGTCCCGGTTTCTTCTGTTTCATATTTACCGCAGTATTTCGGCGTGGATGTTCATTGCATTCATAATAAAACAAATTTTACTAACCGGACAATGCTTCGAAACAAGGGAGGTTGTGATTGACATTCGGTTGTCACTGTTTTGTACCCTTTCTTTAGTTGAGGTCATCCAAATTCAGCTTTCCTCCACATCTCTTCAGCTTGATAATCCGCATCACTTTTGCAGATTCGACCACACCTACCTATGTGTGTATGCTTCTCCGATTGAATACCGAACGTTGGCGGAACGTGCCGTTTGTGCTGCGCGCAGGAAAAGGTAAGCGTATATGATCATTCATTGTGTTACTAGTGTGTTTGTGAGTAGCTTCTATGTTCATGAGTGTAAGTCACACATGGCTCTGTATGCCATCATGAAAATCAGTTCATCGCGGTTCTGTTTATAGAACACTCCTACGTGTATGCCATCATGAAAATCAGTTCATCGCGGTAAACCCGCGCAGGTGCACAAAAGCGAGTGAGTACAAGGAACATTTGAGCTGCTCACAGCCGATCGGATTCAAGTGCCTGGGTCACCAAGTAGCACAAGACTTTGTCTAAAAGCCTACCTTAATAGCATTTTCGAATATTGTCTCTTCGTGGTCTATTCTTCCGCTTTATTTGCTCCACTCTACGTACATTTCATCAGATTTCCTTACGGATTCACAGCACTTGCTTGTTCAGTTTCCCTCCAGCACCTGTCCGTCCCCACATTTGTCGTACCACTTGTTTCCGCGCCTTCTCTGTTCCCTCATACAACTTCGAACCATGACAGTGTCCAACTTCGCGTTTTTTCTTGAGACCTGTATCTTCATTAGTCCTACTTAATTCTGCTCTCAGATCTGTTGCTTTTCACACTTAGTTATTTTTACCGTCAATTTTTCACGAGTTTACCACTCCGTTTTGTTAGCTTTGAACGAACGCAAAGCCGAAGTGCGAATCCAATTCAAAGACCTATCATTGATGTTATTCGGGTCTGATCCCACACCACGCAACGAACTTGTTATTCGGGTTCAACCTGATGAGGCAGTTTACATGAAGCTGAACACCAAATCTCCGGGTATGAAGTTCCACACGGAGGAGACTGAACTCGACCTGACTTATTCCAAACGTTATCAGGTTGGTTATCACCGATGACTCTTTGTGCAACCATGTACTCTTGAACTTTCCATTGATCTCTCATGAGGTAGTCCTCTCAAACAGGACTTAAATATAAACTCAGGTTACCCACTAACATTGCTGTAATTCGACTAATTTCCGTTACAATAATTCGTCTTCTGGGATATATTGGGCAGCGATTGTCTGTGCATAACAGTTGGCTGTATGTGTATCACTTCATAAAATTGCATATATGTTTAACCTTTTTTTTACAAATCAATGTATTTCGTAGCCATGACTTAACTTGCGTCGGATGGGTCTTGGGTGAATTCGTCTTCACCCGGTAGTCAAATCGAAAACGAAAGCTAGCCATGACTAACTTGCGTCGGATGGGTCTTGGGTGAATTCGTCTTCACCTGGTAGTCAAATCGAAAACGAAAGCTTTTTACACCATTTTTTACGTCGTCCGTCCCGTTGGAGTGGCCTCTGGTGGCCGTTCCGGACAGCGTGCTTTGTAGCACGAGTTTTCCGGCTCGGGCTGTCGCCCTGGAGCGACTCAACGCCCAATCCTTAGGAGCTCCAGATAATTTAGGGACCCAAAAACTATGCTGGGCCGTGGGTGTTTTGGTGAGTAAATTTCCCTCGTCAAGATATTCGTGTAGTAGCATTTTCCACCGGCTTACTTAAACTTTCTTCGATAGGACTTTTGATAAGGAAACACCACGCCCCGAAATCTCCTCAGGCTATTTGTCAGGTTGAATTGTAATCTTAAATACAATCCCGTCCTGTCTTCAGCACGTAAAACTACCGGATGCTTACGAACGGCTGTTACTGGACGTATTTTGCGGAATTCAGACGAACTTCGTGCGAAACGACGAACTGGAAGAAGCCTGGCGTATTCTAACGCCAGTTCTTGAGCAGCTGGAGAAGAATTGCGTCAAGCCCCTACCTTATATCTATGGCAGGTCAGTTGAACTGTTCCTCTGTCATCTATTGTTGTTTAATCACGTTTTCCATTCGAGTTTTGAAAACGTGTGTGTCTGTATGAGAGCTCGCAGACTATTCAGCCCTCACTGGTCGCTTCATTTACCGTTGGTCTTCATATCCATCTATCAAGTTAACTTAGGTCGAAAAGAGTCATCATCCGGAGGCGATTTTTGTCTAGTTTAGAGATTTTTTTCGAACCATGATTTTGCTAAAACTAGGGGCCGCGAAATGTGGTCTCCACCCCGTAAAGACTAATTTACTAGAATGAAGCATCGATTACTTTAGAGTGCCGTTGGAATCCCAAAGATTTGGGTTGATCCATTTCCTCTTGTCAATGTTTATGAAGAAGAGTTGTTTGAACCACAGTTCCATCAGCAAGAAATATAGCCCGCAGCTATAGACTGGAATGTAACCCTTGTTTGTGACATTTTGCCGGCCCTTTTCGTGGGATCGCTGGCAAATTGAAGAAACCGTCCGCACATAAGCAACTAAAGGTATTCTCATTCATTGAGCAGCATCGAAAACTTTGCAGGCTGCTGCCAGTCGGAATGATCTGATTAAATGTTGTGTAGCCGGTTCAGGGAATGGTAAATTTTCGCAACTAATTTTCTTTTTTTATCGTTTTGCTTCAGCCGTGATGGACCGGATGCGGGCAGTCTGCTGCGCAAGCGGGCTGGCTACCGATACTCTGGCACTTATTCGTGGTCCTCCGATACTCATAATAAAACACCAAAATAGGGCAATGTGAAATTGTCTAACCTACGGAATATCTCGTTGAACGCTCTCACATTCCCACAACCTGATTCATTTCCGCACACTTTGGTTGCTTTAACCACTTGCTCTAAACAATTTTATACATTACACTGGCGGGTGGCTCCCTATTCGTGTTCGAAATATTTTTTATTTATCATGATTCTCTTGACATGTATTTTGTTCAAAAGTTTGGTCTTTTCATTGTAGCAATAAATTAGCGTAAACTTATTCCGAAGGTGTCCCAATTTTCGCTGTGATGGCTACGTTTTCTGCAAAGTGCGGATCGTTTAGGTACCGTGGTTTAGAGTTGCTGCGTGTTACTGATAATTAGAACTCGTTTCAGTCATCCAAAGCTTGCCGAGTAGGACAGTGCAAGGGAAATGTCATGGCCCAGTCACACCCTCGATGGCGCTCGTGCATCCAAGCTATCGCCTTCAATGCATAGCTCCTTTTCCAACCACCCCACTCATTTGACAGCCCACTGACAGTGCTTGATTTATGCACCAATTTATCAGCTCCCGCCTGCAATGTGCAGCTACCTACCTTCCCCCCAAATCATCGGTGAACGAAACTGTGGCAGCTACAACCACTGTACGACGAGTACGCGGTTATTACAACTGACAATGATGATGAAAATGTCACCACTGATTTGCCCAGATCACTTTGGACTATCCGTCTCCGGCTAGTGTCCCAGTCACTCGTATCCAAAATTTCGGCAATTTCATCGCGCATCACGTAAGAAACGGAACACACCGTTTGTGGCTTTCCTATCAATCACATCTACTTGGACGAAATACCAGCTTAGACATTGTGAGGCTTCTCCTGTGGAATGGTGTCCTAGCTAGTCCAAATATGTCATGTGCGTTTCATGTTAGTAATGGCGATCATCCTGATCTAAATCGGATAGTGGTTAATGCTTAGCTCTGACAATTTCCGAAGTCTTATTTACCCAACACCACAGTCATCATGAACATCCATGGTTTGCCGTTGGGAGCATATCGACGACCGTGGTGTTACGTGCACTTCGCCTTTCGATGCTGAAAAGCCTAGCACCACTGTTCAGCTGTTTCACTCTCATTTGGAATCAGCTCACAAAATTTCAGAAATTTCCGAACCATCACTCTCCCGGCTAGTGGTTTGAAGTTTTTGACCGCGAGCAGCTGAACAGTTCTGTGATTACCTTTCAATCGACAGTTTATGACGCCGCTTATCCATCCACGTAGTAAATTCTCGTTTCATCCTGGTTGTTTGGTGGGCTTCTTTCACCTGTTTAGACGTACTATGATTGGAGTTATCGGTTGCCTCACACGTGAAAATAAGCCGTCACCTGCGAGCCTAATTTTTCCTTCTGTCCACAATAATTGGGGAGTTTATTTCGTTCCTGCAACATCCGAAATCTGTTCCACGGTTAGAATGTAATTATCAAGGGGCATCACTTAGACCGACATATTGATGAGCTACGATTACTGGGCTTAACACTGTCTGACCTCCGGTTTGAAGCTAACTTGTGATTATGTGAGCGCATCAAAATTTCCCAAACTGGATGAGAACACTCATCATGCTAGGGAGTTCAACTTTTACAGATGTTTCGTTGCTCGAGGATTGGTAACCTAGATAATCGAGCAAGATCTATTTCTACTGTTTTCTCGTTTGTTCAGTGTCAACTGAAGGAGGCACCACCAGGTTACCCAAGCCCGATAATAACAGTAATTCAACTGTAACACCCTTTCGGTGCCTAGCTACCATGCCACCTGAAGGAATCACGAGGGCTGGTATACTGCCAGGTTGTCCGACCCTTGACAGGGGAAGTTGAAAGACTGAGGTCGTGTTCGACCCACGGACCTTCTGGCCAGTAAATCCGCGCTCTGTCCACCCAGCCATCCTCCCCGAAGTAATAATAATAGTTCAGCTACAACAACCTATCGGTGCATAGCTGCCAGTGCCAACCGAAGGAAGCGTGAAACATGAGATACTGGTACCTAGACAAGAGCAGTTGCGATGCCGAGATTGGACTCGAACCACGGGCCGAACTCGCGATCGAGTTACAAAGGTCAGAAGTGCTTTCCTCCTGGTCAATACTTTCATGCCACAGTCACTAAACCGTTTGTGTGTTGACAGGAGAAATGGATCCCAGAATGCAGTTTCTTGCGCAAAATGGAGAAACCATAATTAACACGGTGAATTCAATCTTCAAAGGAATGATTTTCCTCTGATCAAAAATCGAGTAGACCAATGGCCCTAATGCAGTTTCAACTCAGCCCTTGGAGATTCCTCATAGCTTATTTAGAAGGTCCCCGTAGCCCTTTCTAGAACGAAGCCACCTCACTCGTTTCATGATTAGTGTTCATAGACATTTGTGTGTACTGTCTATGAGTTGCTACAACCCCCAGCTTTCCTTTCCACATGATTTTCCAAAAAAATCTGAACACTTTCATTGCAACATATTACTAACAACGATAGTTCTCAGTGTGACATACTGCTAGTGTCCAAATCACTCACTTCAACTGCTGCTGATTCCAGTTGAGTTGCTACAACCCCCCAGCTTTCCTTTCCACATGATTTTCCAAAAAAATCTGAACACTTTCATTGCAACATATTACTAACAACGATAGTTCTCAGTGTGACATACTGCTAGTGTCCAAAGCACTCACTTCAACTGCTGCTGATTCCAGTACAGTCGATATATACACGGTTAGCTTTACCAGATTTTTCGTGGAGAACGGTAACTACGGTAAAACTGTTCAGCCGCTGGCCTGAAGTTTGCGGCTTCGAGGCTTCCTGAATTTCGTAAGGTGCGCACTGGTGATGATTTCCGATGCTTCTCGGTATCCCAGCATTGAATAGCATCACAAAATCCTAAAAATTACAGAATCCCCTGATACTAAGATCAACTACAAATAAATGTATTCCTACTGGTTAGTCGCACGGGTTTGTATTGCGTGAACAACACCAATAGCCAAACCCGTACCAGATCCGTACAAAATGCCCTGGATTATGTATCGATCTTTGATCCACCAACACATGAGCATCGTCTTGGTTGGCAAACAATTGTCACTTCGAGTTTCTGTTGCATCGATGTAGAACGCACTGGACTTGTTATCTGAAGCGCAACGTAGGAAGTTAGGGAGTCGGACACAAAATTAGAATTAGCCGTCAGTTGGCTAAAGAGAAAAGCTCATATTTTCACAGGGTCCGGAGGAGGTAGTAAATGGAGGAGCTTCAGCCTAATAAGTAGCGTTTCGGCTTCAAACGGAGTTCATGTGTGGTACACAAAATATAACATGATTCCACCCTGACGCACACAGATAAGCATAAAATATAAGCACAGTGGCGACTCCTTATGCACTTCCGGTAAATGTTATCCTGTGGTCCCTTACCGCATTCATACCATGTCAACAGTTTGAACGCCGTAACAATTGCCCATGTTCTGGTGTTTAAAGACACACTACTCAATGCCGTCAAGTTCATAGAACGGGCAGGGCGTATTGCGTCGTGAATAGCTATGGTTGTTACCATTACGGCGCGATTCCAGGAGTAAGTGTTTAATCGGTGTTCTCTCAGTTACTGTGTAGTTCGCCAGTTTAATTCCGATCGGAACACGTTCCGCGATGACCAAACAAACAAGTACTCTCTAGAATCGTGTTCTTGATAGGGCGTTACTTGTACAATCCCACCATCTGTGTTCATACAGTGCGCACAGGAGATTGCGACAGCCTTTGAAAACCCACATGTGCGTTTCTCAGTAGTCGCCAAATTCCCTCCTGAGGACGCCTTAGTAGATTATGTAGGACAGCTAAATTTGCTTTTGGAAGCTGAGGACCAAAGAAGTAAGTTTACCATGTTCGCTTTTTGTTTTCGAGAAATCCATTTTTTCATGGAGTAATCTCGTGGAGAGTAATCAGATTCATGAGACCGCTGTTGTTCTTACGTCGGTTAATTCGTTTTGAGGAAATTACGTACTTGAACCTAACAACCCCCGGTTTATCTCCTTCATGCTCAATAGAAGCTCATGTAACCCTGTTATTACATAGGCACAAACGTCTCACCTTTTTTGACGAACGATGAGAGTGAAACCATTGCAACGTCCCTCGACCGACAGAGCGGAATTTTCAATTGCTTTGTGACCTTCAGAATTCACCTGGTTGAGGAAGAAAAGAGTGAAATACGCAATCGGGCCAGACATAGCATGCATGGAATTGTTGACAATGAGTAGCTCGAAAGCTTGGGGAAATTACTCTTGATTGTCCCTCATCGGTCAAATCAACTCCTGGTCACCGTTTCGGAATGCTTTGATAAACAAGCGGTAGTTTTTTTTGCAGAGCTTCGCCTTCCACACAGAAGCTCCACCAGGCCAAGTGAGTAATGTAGAAAGTTGGTCGGGACTTAAAGAACTAACGTCCGGATGGTGTATATCCTGCAAATTTGAGTAGGTGTCCATTGGGGGCGGTGCTGCTACCGGTATAACGACGCGTACTACTGATGAGGCGTGCGAGAAATCTGTCGGCTTCTCGAAGCTGCACCTCGCATCTAATGGAAGATGAAGTTTATTACGGAACCCTTGGAACTACTTTGCAGTGTTCGTTTAAAATATTCATGAAAGTTCAAAAAGACGCGTGAGAATGTTCAGTTTTTTTTTAAACCTGAAGGCTAACCACGTGCATATGAGACGTTTACTTCCTTGTCCTTAACTGCTTAGTTGGTATTCGCTACTTCCTTATTCTTAACTGCTTAGTTGGCATTTTTTAACAAACAGCTCCGCGGTAGATGGCTTTCATCCTTATATTTAAAGCCGTAACCAGAACACGAATAACGTTTCCGTGACCATAGCCACTTTATGATCGACTGTGTGGACCATCCTGGAGGATATCGGGGAATTGCAGCAGCTGTACTGGAGGCCGACCGGGTTAATTTGGTGGCACTGGAGACCCACTTCAGGGGGCGGAGGAGGCTGCCCGGCTACGGCCAGAAGGGACCCTCAGAACATGGACTGTGCACCCCCTAGGGAAGCTGTCGCAGCGGGGTTCGGTACATCGTCCGACCGCATGGAAGCTGTGAGGTGATTCAAAGCGACCAGGATGGGACCTGCATGGGAGCCAATGGTGTTGTTTGCAGGCCTGCAGCGCACGCTGCATCGGGCTTTGCCGGGACTAGACGGAGTATTACGCCAGCAGTTGATGTCTGGCCAGGTCATCAGAGCTGTGCATCCTGCACTTGTTGCCCAGTTGCGGTTATCGAGAACAAATGACCGGTTGATTGTGGATAAACTCGTGCGTTTGGCGCGGAAATTGGCGGAGAAGCCACTAACCACCCTGGGGTCTCAGAAGAAGAAGGATGATTCACCGGTGGAGGAATTGCAGACTAAGATGGGCCAACTAGCCACATAACTTATAACCGTCAATAGCCATCAATTGACAAGGCAAGCTCCAAAGAGCTGATTTTAAGAATGTGGCATGTCTGACCATCGGAAGAATCAATATCGCCACCACCTGTACATAATAACACTACAAATTAATCCCGTTTTCTGGTGGGCTGTTATTATTACTGTGATACAGTTTGGGATGCAGGCTGTTATCAAGCTAGCCGGGAAGAGGGTGCTGAGCCTGATTTATACGGTAGCAAGTGATGTCATTGAAACAGAGTGAAAGTGGGGCTGAATGCAAATCGTGTGCGCTAGCAGTTGAAGCGGGGGTGAATGCCAACTGGAAATCAACGGATTTTCAGGGCCCAAAAGCGCTTAGGCGACAGGTTGGTGCAGCGTGAGTTCCTGATCAGCCCAAACACAAAATATGACTTAGGGAGCGGATTTCTCGAGAGCGTGGAATCCGTAGCGAAAATAGATGAGGCAAACTGATGACTAAGTACGGCTCAGTCAGGCTTTAAGGCTGCCCAGTCACTGGTGTGGGTTGACTTCGTATCCGAGAGTCTATTGGTGCACAGGTGGTGATAGCCATAATACAACTCAATACAAGTATATGCACCAATAACAGTCTCTGCTGCGGTTGACAGTAGTTTACAGAAGTGATTAGCAGCATGTAGAAAATGAAGGTAATATAAAATGTGGAACGAACCAAAAGGGAACTTATCGTACGTGAGGTTCCATTGGTGAACGTGCGGACTGCGGGGCCGTGTTTTCATCATAGTATAGCTGCTATGTGTGCTCCATAACCGTCCGTGGACTTGGAGTGCTTGATTGACTCCTTGCACCCTGCGCGCACGAGACTGTGCATGTTGACTGAGTTGTCTTCTTCTGTATATAGCAAAGTTTGACGTGTGTGTAAAAAATGAATCGTTCCGATGTGTACAAGACAAGAACTGGCCTGTTGTTGTTCGCTGTTGCGGGCGGGACGGCATTTTTCAGGTTATTTGTGTGCTTTTGTGGTAGGCAAGTCGCGTGATCTAGTAAACATGCATGTACTAAACAAATTAGTTGGAGTTGGTTGACGGCACATGGAAATGTTCACTACAAGTCTCCGACTTGTAATGTGCCGTCAGTGCAATCTTTGGCTAGGGTGTACTCCGAACTTTTCACAGGAGATATAGATCCGTTTGGCATCTGCTCATGGACTGAACATGAAAACCCTCTCTTCTGATTTCTTTCGTCCTTACGGCCCAGTTCGCTATCGGTCCATCTACGAAAGCTGTTCAATAAACACTTTCAAGAGATGTTAAGCGGTATACTCGAGAGAGTGAACAGTTCATACAAATTCCAGTTGTTCTTGTGAAGAAAACAAACCGGTAACAACTATTTCGCGTCGATTTCCGGTTGCTGAGTGAAATAAGCATTGATCGGGTTGCAATAGTGCCTTCGGTTGCGGAGATTCTCACTTCCCTCCAGTATTCTCAATATTTCACTGTGTTCAAATTACGTTCCAGATACCGGCAACTACCTATCAAGGTTGAAAGTCATGAGAAAGAGTGCCAGCGCCTTTTGAAGCTTAAGCACGACACGGCCTTGTTGGAGAAGCCCTTATATAACCCTGCTTTCAACACCGCCAAGGCGACATCAAAGCAACCTCCTATGGTGACAAAGTCGAATAGGGCAAAGCCTCCTTCAGCATGCTGGTAATACGGCAAATGGCATTTTGTGCGATTGTGTCCGTATAAAAAGCACAAATGTTCATTGTGTAATCGACGTTGCCACAAGGAAATCCATTGTCGGACGCGAAAAGCTAGTCAAAGGTGCGGTCAAACCCAGAGGTCACGAAGAAAACGGAGCCAATCAGAATCGGAAGTCCGTGCTCCACAGGAAAGCCGGCAAGCATCCAGGCCAGTCAATCATTCAATCATTTCAGCAAAACCTGGTGAGTGTTCTCGCACGCGGCAGAAGCACGACCGAATGTGATCAGCGTTCAGGCTTTTCATAGAGGCACGATCGATGTTGATAGGTGTTCATTAACGCCTATCAAACGGCCTGCATCAGTGTCGGAAAGTCCCCTTTAAATAGCGTGGGACCGTTGTAAATTTCGCTCTCGCGCTCGCACGCACTCACGCTCTCGCACTCGTTTGTTCGAAATATAGCGGTTGTGTTCCCCTCTGTGAGTCTTTTTTTCTCCAGCGTTAGGCACTGGAGCAGGTCAGCAGCAGATACCACAGATTGACTAATCAGCAAATATAACAGATTGGCGACGCCCGAACCTACTGGATCATGACAATAACTGCTGAAGCGTTGAAAAAAATTCTGCTGCAACAACAAAACGAGTTTGAAGCGGTACAATTACGTTTGGTGGAAGCATTGCCGCAGCAGCTTAAAATTCAACCACCAAATTCCGCTCCGGATACAAGTTCAGTCGACTCGATCTCCAATAGCATCACGGAGTTCCCTCGTGACCCTGATGCCGGCCTTACCTTCGATTTTTGGTTCAGACGTTACAAAGATGTTTTCTAAGTCGAACTGAAGCACAAATATAATGCCTGGATAGTACGCTTATTGCTCAGAGAGCTTCGGACAACCTAACACACACTGTATTCCGACTTTATCCTGCCTTAGAACGCGTGAGATCTCAGTTTTGACAAAACCGTGCGGAAACTGTCAATGATTTTCGGTGAGCGTTCCTCCTTGTTTAATATTCGCTACCAATGTATGAAACTGGCGAAAAAGGAGTCCGAAGACTACATCACTTATGCCGGTAGAGTCAACCTTGAATGCGAAAAATTCAAGCTATCTACCATGACGGAAGACCAGTTCAAATGTCTTATTTTCATGTGTGGTCTTCAGTCACGTTCAGACAGTGGTATCAGGGCAAGGCTATTGGGCAAGACCAAACAAAACTCCCGAGATAACGCTGCAGCCTATTACCCATGAGTGCCAGCGCCTTTTGAAGCTTAAGCACGACACGGCCTTGTTGGAGAAGCCCTTATATAACCCTGCTTTCAACACCGCCAAGGCGACATCAAAGCAACCTCCTATGGTGACAAAGTCGAATAGGGCAAAGCCTCCTTCAGCATGCTGGTAATACGGCAAATGGCATTTTGTGCGATTGTGTCCGTATAAAAAGCACAAATGTTCATTGTGTAATCGACGTTGCCACAAGGAAATCCATTGTCGGACGCGAAAAGCTAGTCAAAGGTGCGGTCAAACCCAGAGGTCACGAAGAAAACGGAGCCAATCAGAATCGGAAGTCCGGTCTGTGGCAAAATTCAGATTCCGGTTTTGATTCTTCCTTCAACGAAGTGACCGCAGAACTTGCTGGCAGAAAGATCAGATACCTGAAAGAAACCTCAGAACGGAAGTCCGTGCTCCACAGGAAAGCCGGCAAGCATCCAGGCCAGTCAATCATTCAGTCATTTCAGCAAAACCTGGGGAGTGTTCTCGCACGCAGCAGAAGCACGACCGAATGTGATCAGCGTTCAGGCTTTTCATAGAGGCACGATCGATGTTGATAGGTGTTCATTAACGCCTATCAAACGGCCTGCATCAGTGTCGGAAAGTCCCCTTTAAATAGCGTGGGACCGTTGTAAATTTCGCTCTCGCGCTCGCACGCACTCACGCTCTCGCACTCGTTTGTTCGAAATATAGCGGTTGTTTTCCCTTCTGTGTGTCTTTTTTTTCTCCAGCATTAGGCAGCAGCTACCACAGATTGACTAATCAGCATATACAACATTTACCGTGTGCGGAGACGATACCTTTGTGTGCAACAATCCGGAACTAGAGCCCGCAATTAATTTGAAGTATATATTGAAACGGATCTGGGAGGCTTCTTTGAGGGTAAATGA